CAGGAGGGAGGGGGGGGGGATTGGCAGGGGGTCGGGGTTTTACCCACTGTGAATTCATGCTCCCAGCTTCTTCTTATCTTCTCGGTTCCGATTGCAAATCGTGCGTTCGCATCTGGCTGCTGGTGATGTCAGCGCGAAGGGAATTGGAAAGATTGCTCCGGAAGTTGGGAGCGAGCGGCACAACGAATTTGCCTGAGTAAGCACAAAATCCCAATCGACTTCTTGCCCGGGCACTGCCTTTGAGTTTTGGAGCAGTCCTAGCACAGCGCTCGTACTATGCCAGTGTGCCGAAATGTGCTGCATGCACTGCAGCCGTCCGCGTTCTTTATTGAGCGGAGAAAAATTTTGACCGTTTTCACTGTTTCTTCTCAAATATCACTCATTTTCATTGATAACTTGATCGTTTTGTCTGCCATTACTCAAATAATCTCTCCTATACAATTTTAATCTTTGATTTCTTTACACCTACGCTCCTATCATATCATATGTATCTAGCTCTTCATAGAGAAATTGGCTTTTATTAAGGTGCACGAGTCTACTGAAATCAAATGAATCAAATAATCAAATTTGATTTTATTCCTTTGCTTCGCTTCTCTTGTTCAAAAAAACTTCGATCAAAACGGATTTGAATGAGTGTTTTCTGTTTCCATGTACCCTAGAAGATACACGCTCGTTATTCTTTTTTCGCTATTTTGTTCAGAACTACTTGATATGCTCCAAAAAGCCATGCGCAGTTTTCAATCTGCATCGAAAGGAGCAAAGAATCCTGTAAAACACAAAAGTAGGTCCGAAGAAAAGAAGTAAGGAACGACGCGCACGAGGACGTCTCTTTCCGTGAAGCAGATGCTCATTCTTCAACTCCGTTTTAGGACCGAAGATTTTCTCATCAGACGGGGAGGAGCATATCAAATGAGGCCAAAATAAGCGAAGTCTAGGAGAATAATCCTTGAAGTCAAAAATCTGTAACTCTCGATGCTGTGCTGGAATGTTCTGGAACACAGGTCGATATAAATCTAGCATTATCTCTTATAAGAGAGAATGTGGACAGTTATCAACCTGGCTAGAGGGTACACTTAGAATACCATGTGTTTGAGGGATAATCATATTTATTTAGTGCTATTCGATTAGCTAATGCCAACTTCGATACCGCTCAACACCGACCAAATGCAAGAAAAGTCATTGTGATAATCGCTTCTGCATTCCAGTAAGTTAGCAAACTCAAGTTGCATTCTTGACTTACTTAACAACTAATCTTATATGATAATCAGTAATGATAGAGTTTCTCTCTTTTTTCAGGAGTGGCAGACAAAACGACCCAGTTACTGCAGCGAGCACTTTCAAAGAAGATGGAGGAGTCATCATTACCATTGGTAAGGTTTTTACTTGATGAAGGAGTCATCATTGGCAAGGTTTTTACTTGATGGAGGAGTCATCATAACCATTGGTAAGGGTTTTACTTGAGACAAGTGCAATTGTTCTATATTCAACGCTTCTTTGTCGTGAGAGGTAAAGAAGAGCAAAAGTCCGTTTCAGTTGCTAGAAAAATAGTGTCCTACATGTCTGATTTATCATTTCAGAATATGTACAAACGCATGGAGCTCCTGTACCCATGTTGGATGTCCTCGCTAGTCCGGGCTATGCGCTTACCAATCGTTATGGCAAGCTTCACGTTTGGAGCTTACACAAACTCTTCTGCAGAGGTAAGACAACCTAGTCGAGTAGACTGTGCCTTGAAGCGCTGAGAGTTCAAACGGATCATGGAATAAACCAACTTGTGCTCATGTTCTGCGCTGCCATCTCATTAATGTGGGTCGAAAGAGTTTTGTCTTTATAATCTATGCTTGACAGAAAAGGCGGACGGGGCAGGAGCCTGTAAGAGAGCGCGGAAAGTTTAGGTTATATTTGTAATCACATTAGAGTCTACAAACCGTCGTACCTAGTGATTATATTCAAGCGAATATTGTAATTTAGATTGCGTTGTTGCAAATGTATCGCATCCTTGGATAGCTCAATTTACGATAGATCAGAAGGTAGACGTCTTGCCAATGTATGGTGTGACTTGCAGCTACAGTTAGCTTAGGAGTGAACGCAATAACTGAGTGATTACTTCGAAAGTGATTAGACCAGTCATGCAGTCATCTGAAATATATCATAACATACGATTACTGCAACGACTTGGATCTTCTTGCCTATAAAATGCGGCTTAGAGTAAGAAGCGTTCAAGAAATAAAATCATCTGCATCATTATGGTGCCTCGTGTCTTCAAAACTCTTTTATGCTGTTTTTACTACCGAATTTTAATCTCGTGTCTTTATCAGCAAAATTTGAACAATGTGCAGGACAAGGTGAAGGAAAAATGCACTGATTTTCGTGCCTTTTCGAGTGGTTTTTGTTCGGAGACAAGTTCCTATAATCGAGCTCTTCTGCTATTGATATGTGTGCAGAGTTTCATTTAACAATAATACAAACCTTTAGCGCGATATTGCAATGAATTGTTTAAGAGCGATTGACTTTGTGCCACACTAGCTCTGAGAAGTCAAGCATTCAACGGTAAAGCACGTTCCAAAGTTTCAAAAAAGGCGAAGAAAATTTGTTTACAATTTGTTGGATTGGGAGCAAGTAGAAATCTCGTAAAGTGCTATCAGTTTTTTTTAAGCCAACTGCTTCTGCCCCACTAACTACAGACCTTTTAAATGGAGAGGTGATATCCCATATGGAGGTTGCTACAAAATGTCAACGCTTCCATCTATGCAGGTGCGGACTTTTTAATTTTCGAGTGAATAGTAGAAAAACTCAAATTATTTGCAGTTAAATTAATTGAATGCTGCTTACCCGTATGCATGACCTGAAAAATAACTTTAATATTAGTCCGGTGCAAAAGTTCTTTCCGTTTTTTGG